GACTCACAAGCTGATAATTCAGACACTCACTAAACACGTCACACTTCCTTGAGAGCTACAGAAGCAGTGATCTGCCCGCACAGAGGAATGTTGGGTCAGCTTTTCTGTGAAGAAGCTTCCACTCTGTTTGGCTGACCAAGTCACAAACAGTTTTACCTACATGTAAACGAAATCGAACCCAGTGCCATGATGAAGGGTTTTATTGTTCAGAGCCAACAACTGGACCTCTGACTTGAACTTGCATGGGTTTGTTTTGGTTTCAAACTCAAGGTCTAACCGTCAGCACTTCTAAAGTGAGCACGTGTCTTGCGTCCAGTATACTGGACTTTCGGCATCTTCGAGGTCACAGGTACCGTCCGGTATACCGGACTTTCGGTCGTTAAAGGTTAAAGAGGTATGGAAAGGCACTTTTTGCATAAAATATTGTCTTTTTATTAGTTCCTGAAAATTTCGTTTTTAAAAAACAATTTTTCTTGAAATTCTTTAGAAAAAGTAACCACATGCATTTTAGCGACATAAGGTTTAAAGGGCTTTCCAGGACAGGGGTGGGATTTAAATACTCTTCGTGCCAGTCAAAGAGTTAATATCTGGTCATGAACCCCACAAGGGGCTTGACACCAAAACTTCTGACTGACTGACTGTCAGTCGCAATGTGACTTTGACTTTGACAGGTAAGATCTAAAAGTTTAAAAGTTTGTGACGATGGTACGAGCAGCAGTCCGTATATAATGCCTCCTATTTTTTTAATGAAAACTACAACAGATACAGAAAGCATAACAACACAGTTAAATAGAGCAAGATTTCAGCTACTTACTGTTATTTTTCCACATAATCACCACCATTTGTTATGTGTTTTTGCCAGCGATGAACAAGAGGCTGTATGCCATGCTCATAAAAGTCTGCACCAGCAGAGGCTAGCCACTTTCTTACAGCTGCAATGACAGCTTCGTTGTCTGGAAAATGTTCTCCATATAGTCCATCTCTCATAGGCCCAAAGAGATGGAAGTCTGAAGGTTCAAAATTGGGGCTATAAGGTGGATGTGGTAGGACAGTCCAGCCAAACTTTGAAATGTTCACGATGGTCAGCAAACTGGTATGGGGTCTAGCGTTATCATGCTGCAAGCAAAAGGTTGTCTGCTTGTCTGGCCTGACTCAGGAAATGCGGGCTTTCAGCTTAGTCAGCATCATCTTGTAGCATTCAGAATTGACAGTCTCACCATGCTCCAGGAAATCCAACAAAAATCACACGCCGCCTATCCCAAAAGACCGTGCACATCACTTTCCCTGCCGATGGCTGTGTCTTGAACGTCTTTTTTCTTGGGGAATCCAGATGTCGCAACTCCATGGACTGTCTTTTAGATTCTGGCTCATAGTAGTGACACCACGTCTCATCTCAGGTGACAATGCTGTACAGAAACTTGTCATTTTCAGCCTCAAACTGATGCAACAGGTCCCAGCGGACTTCCATTTGACGAGTTTTGTGGTCCTGTGTAAGCATCCGCAGGACTCACCTGGAACAAACTTTGTGATAATCCAGCTTCCCCAACATTGTTTACAATGAATTTACAGCCAATATTAAGCCATGTACACAGTTCCCTGGTTGGTATCTGCCAATCTGTATGGATGAGCTGATTGAGGCGCTGTTCATTGTGAGGAATAGTAGCTGAGCAGAGACGCCCAGGATGTGGTTTGTCATGCACTTCACTTTCGCCACTGTTGAAACACACTACACACCGCCTGACTATGCTGACATCAACTCATCTCCGTACACCTTTAGCAAGTGTCGATGGATGTCAAAGGGTGCAATCTGTTCGGCAGTGAGAAATTCAGTAACATATCTCTGTTTCATACACACTTCTATGTCAGACACCATTTTGGTATACTACTCTGCTGTCGCTATCTGTCATACGACAACCAAACTAACATTACATTGGCAGGAAGGTTCAACCTTTACTACAACACCACCAACATGCAGCTCAGACGTTACAGATTAACACAAAAAAATAGGAGGCATTATATACTAAGTGCCCTTTGTACACTGCTACAAGTATTATGTTTTTGGACATTACCCATCATTTTGTACATTTTTTAAAAAACCATCCTGTTTCTGTTTTTTTTTTAAACACAATCTTACAGGAACTGTCCAGTGATTGAGATTAGCTCTTTCTAAGGGGCCCAACTGAGTAGGTGAATTCCTTTCTCATCTGAAGAGGGAAACAGCTTCAGTTTCTGGAACATCATGTCCTCTATTATCTAGAATTCCCGATGATGGAAGAAATCGAAAAATCTAGTAATTCTGCGTGTCATCTACCATCCAGAACCCTTTAGAATCTACTTATTAATTGTATTTGTAATAATGATGAATTGCCTGAACATTGGAAGGAATCTATTACTGTACCACTGTACATGAAGGGTGATAAAACTGTCAGTAGTAATTATTGAGGAATAGCAGTGTTATCAAGTTCATACAGAATTACATTTATATCCTTCACTCAACACTAAATCCATATGTAGATGAAATCACTGGGGATCATCAGTACAGGTTTCTACATAACAAATCAACTACTGCTGAGACTTTTTATGTTTGCCACATACTGTAGAGAAAATTGGAGTACAATGAGACAGTGGATCAGATTTCAAAGACTTCAATAAAGCCTAATATTCAGTTAGGAGGGAAGCACTGTACAATATTCTGAATGAGTTCAGGGTATCCATGAAACTAGTTAGGCTGATTAAAACAAGTTCAACTGAAACCCATACTAAAGTCCATATAGATAAACATTTTTCTGTTATGTTCACTATTCACAATATTCTAAACCAAAGTGATACTTCTTGCCATTACTTCTTCCAACTCTGATTTTGATTATACCATTAGGAAGATCCAAAGAAATGTGGTGGGACTACAGCTGAATGGGACCCAGCTTCTGGCGATGTAAACATACTGCGAGATAACATAGATACCATAAGGAAAAACAAAGAATCTCTAACTGATGCTAGGAAATGGGTTGGTCTACAGGGAAACAGAGAGAAAACTTACTACATGTTGAATTCTTGCCACCAAAATGCAGGGCAAAATCATATAACATGACGGCTAATAGATCGCACAAGAATGCGGCAAAGTTGAAATATTTGGGAACAGTAACAAATTAAATTTGATTCATGAAGAAATTAAGAGAAGATTCATTTCAGGTAATGCTGCGACCACTTAGTTTGGGTCTAAAAATGTAGCAATTAAAATATAAATATCTGTAATTCCACCTGTAGTTTTGCGTGGGTGTGAAATTTGGTCATTCACATTAAGGGAACAAAGATTTAGAGTATCTGAGAAAAGAGTGCTGCGGAGAATATTTGGGCTGAAGAAGAAGGAAGTAACTAGTAGTTAAAAAAAAACATAATATCTTCATAAATTGTACTCTTTACCAAATCTAAGTAGAATGATCAAGTCAAGGGGGATGAGATTGGCAGGGTATGTAGCAAGCATGAGGGCGAAGTAAATCTATAAAGGGTTTTGATGGGAAAGCCAGAAGAAAAGAGAACACCAGGAAGATGTAGATATAGGTGGGAGAATATTAAGTTGGATCATAGAAATAGGTTAGGAGGTATGGACTGGATTGATCTGGCACAGAATAAGGACTGGTGGTATGATAATAAACCTTCAGGTTCCATAAAATGTTGGAAAATTCTTGAATAACCGAGCCACTAGTAGCTTCTCAAGGACTCATCTCTAAGGAATTACTTAGTTACCTATTTAATATCAAATTGAAGTGCATTTCTTTCACACACCTGGTTATACAACTGAAATGCCTTCTTCGTATAACCTAAGCGACCACACTCTCCAATGATCAGATTGTAGATGTAATGTTCTGGTTTCACACGATCATCTTTAAGCATTCGTGTTTCTAAAATATCAATAGCATCTGCCAGCTGAAACATACAATAAAATTAGGATTACATAGGAAATCTTTAAAATATTTGCTATCAGATTGCAATCTTTTACTTGAAATACCTTTTTGTTGCTGATGAAGTCTTTTATCATAGCTGCATACTGCTTATTGCTGAGTTGTTGTGATCTTGTAGGAACATACTCTAAATACATTTCTTCTTCTCTATCTCCCTCATCGCCTTCAATGGCTTCAAGTGGTGTTTCTTTGGTACACCGAAGGTTTCCAAATGTATTTGGATCATTCTGTGAGAAATCAATCCCTGTCTCTAAACGTCTTTTGGTACTAATTTGTGTACTCTGTGGTTGGCTAAAACACATTCCTTCTTGGTTATTTTTACAATTATTACTCTTCTCAGTTTTAAAAGTTTTATTATTGTTGTTGTCTTCTCTATGTAGCATGCTAAAAAGATGTGTTGTTGAAGATGTGGATAATGAAAAATTTCTAGTTGATAACATGTAGTTTGTATGTTGTTTGTACCTATTAGGTATAGAAAACACTTCAGCTATAAAGTGTTTATGCCATCTGCCAAGACAGCAAAGGACACGGCCTGATGACATGCTTGAAAATTCAAAGTATGCACTATTTCAATTACAGATTATCGTTGTCATTCTCTGAAGCAGTAGGAATATCATTCCAGTTGCAGCAGCTGTGTCCAAAGATACCTAAAAATTAAAATAACACATATAAAGATAAGAGACCCTGTTTAGGGAGCTTCTTATAACAAAAAAAGAGCATAGCAGCTTGGCACAAATGAAATAGCAAATTTCTAAAATACGTGGTATTAATATCTTTTACTGAAAAATTGGGACATCTGTTTATGCAGCTATATAACCCACAAGTTCTAGGAAACCTTTGTTTAAGATACTCAAATTTACTTTACGTAATTTGTTCAGACCTCGAATACTGTTATGAACTGAGAATAAATTGCTACCATACAGGGGGATATAGTGACACACCTCAAGGGCTATGTCCTGTAACCTACAACTGTAATGATTCATCAATGCATGGTGCATGCTTCTGAGAATAATTAACCTTCACTGTGCATCAGCTTTAACCCAGGGACACAAACCAGTTAGGCAGACGGTAGATATTCAGGTATGGCACAATGATTAGTAAGGGTTTATATGAGGTTACAGTATCTATTTATGCTAACTACAAAATTATACGACTGGGAATTGAATGGGGCAAGTGATCAAACTGACATTCTGTTTATTAACCTCAGCAGAAATTGTTATAGTATAATATAGAAATAAGTATTTTAACTGATTTGTGCTCTTTGAAACTTGAGGACTATAAAAGTATGCAGGAATATGTTAATGCCTACATGTCAATAAATCTTAGATTAGTCTCAATGGGCAAAAAAATAGAAGATGAGCTATTAGCCACTTTAACGTTAAAGGGTTTAACTGAAGAGTATTATCCCATGCATATGGCACTTGAAAATTCCAACGTGAGTTTGACTAGTGAGCACATTAAATCTAAGCTATTGCAAGGTACTGAATTTGGTAAAAATGCAAATTCAGAGTCAGCCTTTCTATCTCTATCTCTATCCAGAGATAAGTTCAAACGTAAACCACCAAAATGTCAAATTTGTGGTAAGCTATGCCATATAAACAAAAACTGTTGGTTTAAAGATAAGGATAAGGCAAACAATAATCATCACAACAATCAACACAACCAAAAATTTAAGGACAATCAGTCTTCTAAATCAGTTAATAGTACTGATGAAAATAAAGCAGGGATAGATTGAACACTGATTCTTACTTATCATTCGAGCCGCGTGGAAGTAACAAAAATAACAGAAATGTCTCTGCTACCGGCTGAATAACAAGTTAAGTGGTTTCCACACCTTGTGCGGCTGGAAGCACGGTATAGTCTGCTTCACATTTACGTTCCCTATTTAAAACAGGGGCTTTAAGTTAACTAAAGAAACCTATGTCTGTTAACCTTTGCGAAACGTAACATACTTAACCTACATCTGTTCCTTCTATTTCGATTCCTTAATCTCCTTCAGCAAATTCAGCAATACTACACACGCTTCACACTATGCCTACTCACCACGGAATACAAACGCGCTTACGTTCATACCGAGTACAGCACGGATTACTGAGTTACTGTTGCCAACGCCGACTTTGTGTACAATGTACCTGGTGCACAAATTTTGAATTATATCATCACTCAATAATTCTCAAATTCCACAAGCAGACGACGCCAAATATCTTGGCATGCACCTGGACAAAAGACTCACATGGCCAAAACATATCAAGACCAAACGCACGCAGCTCAGAACTAAATTCCACAAGATGTATTGGATGCTGGGACGCCATTCGGAGCTCTCAACAGAGAACAAGATCCTACTATATAAAACTACACTAAAACCGATATGGACCTATGGCATACCCTTATGGGGTACCGCTAGCAACTCCAACATCGAAATTCTTCAACGATTCGAAAATATGGTACTGCGTGTACTAGTTAACGCACCATGGTACGTACCAAACTTCGTCCTACACAAGGACCTGGGAATTCCAACAGTACGCGAGGAAATCACGCTCTCCAGTAAAAAATATCAGGCACGCCTCCGGAAGCACCCGAATTCCTTAGTGACGCACCTCTACGATGAAGAAGAAGTCAGGAGGCTTCACAGATTTAAACCGTCAGAACTTTTAACCAGATTTGCTGTCTAATTTTGTAAAACAATTAACTAGTTGACTATAATTACTTAAATTACATATAGAACGAGCAGGAGCGTAGGGTACATGGATGTGGTGGAAGCATTGCTTCCCTATAGAAAAGCAACCAAGAACATTTCTGGCAATTTTTCAATTTCAAAAAAATATTTCATACTTCAAAATATTAATTAATCTGAGAACATATATTACATATAATGAGAATATTGCAAGTTTTAATGTGTTACATAGACAATTTATCAGGATAGATCAGTTATTTTCTTCCAAAATGCAGGGAAATTTAAACTGCAACACCCGCGGAAGCAGCAGGTCTTTCGCTTCCACCCTCCCCTGGGTTAACTGGCTGACTCAATGTCAGTGTTGTGTGTAAGTGAGCTATGCGCTATGGTATGCTACCAGCTTCGTGCTTCCAGCAATGTTGTCAGATGTAAGGCACAGTTTGCAGTAGAATAATCTGTGACCTTGCAGTTAAGCGTGCTTACTAGAAATTCGCAGAACCAGGATAGGTTGTCATCACTGGCTTTGATGAACATTGAAAAGTCCTTCCTAAACAAACTGCAGTCCAAACCCATTTTTCTAGATGAGGTTATTGATCTGTTTGCCAAGAAAAACAGAAGAATCGAGCTGAATTATAAACAATAAAGTAAGCATTAATTATATTCCAGGTTCACAGCCCTCTCATTTGATGGCTATAAAATTGTGTTGATAATTATGTGTTATTTTAATATATTACCTTAAATATAGAATACATATTAAACTATTAGCTGTTTTCTTTTAAATAGAAGATAGAAACTATAGGGTATGTAGAAAAAATTTATATACANTCATCAGTAATCTGTCAGACGACAGGTCCACAGTCTCTTCCAAAACAGTTCCTCCAATTAATGCGATCTAGAGCTTTCTCCTTCATATGAGAATATCCTCTTCTGTCCCCAAGGTCATCCAGCATTTTCTTACGTCTTCTTCCTCGTCTTCTGGTCACTTCTATCCTCCTCTTTATCTTTCCTTCAAAAACTTCTTTTAGAAGGTATTTAATGCGTAAGATATGACCAATCTAATTAGCCTTCTGTTTTCTTATTTCGCGTAGGATATTCCTCTGCTCACTGACCATAAATTAACTCTTCTTCATTTCTCACATAATCGGTCCAACTGATCTTCTCCATCCTTCTCCAACACCACATTTCGAAACTTTCCAGAAATTTCTGATCTACTGCCCTAAGTGTCCATGTTTCGGCCCCATACAGAGCTATGCTCCAAATGTAGCATTTCACTAGTTTCTTCCTCAAATTTAAGTCCAGTTTGCCGGTAAAACGATTCTTCTTCTTGCTAAATGCACCTTTCGCCAAGGCAATCCTGGATTTAATTTCACACGTACACCTTCCATCATCTGTTAACAAGCTACCCAAATATTTAAAACACTTCACATTCTCCAGTTGTTTTTGATCTAGCTTTATTGTGACTGGGGTTGGTTGCTGAATTATATAACAGTAACGTAAACCTACCTCAATCAAATATTATTTAAGCTGCTGTCACCTGCTACTAAAACTAGTTAGAAAGAATACTGACACCGAACCTCAATCTAGCTTATAAATTGCATGTAACTACAGCCTTGAAAGGGAGTAGGGATAACTCAATCGGCATAGTCGGCTACGGGTCAGAAGAACCCAGGAATGGATGTTTGTTTTCCGGCAGGATTATGAAAATTTATCTTTCCCCTGAAGTCCAGACTGGCTCTGGTGCCCACCCGGCCAAGCCTGCGTTCTGTAAAATTGGCACCAGTGGCTGTAGCCCCTTCGGGGAAGCCGGAGTGGACATGAACACCACTCACCTCCATCTAGTGTCAAAGTCCACTTTCCCATATCTGTTCTTAGAGTGGTGCTTAACTTCACCTTTTCAAACTGAAAAGAGAGATGTTTTCTTAATTTATACAGGCAACTTTTAATTTTGCTATAGGTGAACAAAACACGCTGGCCACAAGAAGTTAGTAAAGTAAGCTGACAGAGTCTCTTGGCTTTACAGATAACCTTGGCTCACAACGACAGACCGGAACCGCTTTATTATTTAGTCATATCAATTACTACCTGTGGCTACATGCCATGGGTAGGTGTACAGAGTATAATCATGTTTGACAAGGGCTCATAACCTTTCTTGTACCATGGACCCCTTCTCAGAATGTTTTAAATACATTATANCCTTTTGCATTCCAATCAGCTGTGTCAGCAGATAAGGCAGACCGGCTGGAATGTTGCGTGTAGGTAGGCAAAGCGATCCTAGGCAGAGCCATCAAGTAGTAAACAGGACGTTGTGTTGGAGACTTTGTGAAGTTAAAATGCCATACACATTTCCCACTCAGGAATACGCCGATATGGTGTTTGTTTTGGGTGTATGTGATGGAAATGCGAGAGCCGCTGTCATAAGGAACAGAGCCCTCTGTTATTTTAGGATGTCATAGGGACCAAGCACTAAGCCCTCTTCTTATTTTAAGCTGTCAACATATATAAGCCAGCAAGCGCTCTGAGATTATCGCTAGCTGTCATAGTTGTTCATTAGCCACGAACTCTTAACATGCCAGGATATCTTATTAGTATTGGGTTCGTGGCAGAGTAAAGACACACAGCTATAATCCTGACAACCCTTCGACAGTATAAACAAAGCGCTAGTGAGCAGTACTTGCTAATTGAGAGGGAGGTAGAGGTTATTAATTTTTATGCTTATGACTGGGCCAAAGGAGTGGGAATAACAACACATTCCTTTGAGCCAATGCTGTATTCTACTTTGAATATAACCTTCCTGAGGGCAGGAGGCAGTCGACAGTCAACAGTCAGCAGCCAGCTGTGTAAGTCGTCTGTTCGACTCACTTAATAAATCTATCCTACCTTCTACAAGACCGGACTTTTGAGTTTTTCTCAATGCGATTGGACTTCGCTCCACTCCACATCCTGTTCGTCACCTGCAATTTCGTGGCAATCCGGTAAAACACACAACTACCGGCGATCCACGTAATTTTCGGACATACTCGTAAGAGATCTAAATTTGTTTGTATGGGACGACAAGACTGCTCCGTCCACCTACCACTTTGTCTTGCACGCCGAACCATACAACATGGTGGCAGCGAATTGGGATCTTGCCAAGACAACTTGAAATTGTCATTGTGAACGAACTCGTCAAGAAGACTGGTCACCTTCAAGATAAGGAGGAGTGACGACAACACCTGAAGGGAAGACGCTTCTTCGAGGAGAATCTTCTTCTAATCCAATCACTGAAAATCTGTGGGCTAGTAACTGGGGCTGGTGAAGATCGAACGTCATCCAACAACAACGGTGGGTCCTGCCACCGACAACGCGAGATCGCAGCTAGCTACTCCAGCAGAACGTCCAACAAAGTCCTGTGTCCATTGGCTTCCATCAACGTAGTAGGGACGCCGAGGCACGAACTACTGGCAGTCTGGTCGCAGCTTCTGTCACAAGACTCAGGCACCCTCTGGGGGGAGGACGGGGCACCATCCTCCATCACTACCGGACGAACTACAGAGCTTTGTACACCCTTCATTCTTGTAAGGTTAGTCAAGACCCTTTAATAGTTAACAATTGTGGAGGTTTAATAAGAAATGTTAGTAGAATTATTTTAAAATGGCTGATGAACAACTTAGGCAATTAATGAGAGATGCCACGGAGGCAGAGAGAATAGGAGAATACTGGACAGTAACTCATGCCGAGAAGTTACTGCGAACTTTTGATGGGAACCCTAAAGAGGTTCGGAATTTTATTTTAACTGTTGAATCAACATTGGAAATATTGAATGAAGTAAGAAAAGCGTCGTTTGTTAAATGTATTCTCGCACACATTGTGGGTGATGCAAAGTTTAAACTGAATAACAGAATTATTGATACGTGGGCAGATATTAAGCTTTGGAGGAAAATTACACTACAATGCGTACATTAGATTATACAGCCGGAATTTTGTTCACAGCCAGACAATTTCAAAGTGAGTCAGTCACGGAATGGAGCAATAGATTACTCAGTATTGCCAGAGAACTTAGTTTTGAGGTGAAAACAAGATTGATAAAATTAAGCCAAGATGATCACACATTAGATCAATTAAATTACCTGAGAGGAGGTAATGATGTTATTAATGAATTATTAAAAGGTACATTCGTGAATGGCTTAAAGGATGATAAAATTAAACATCTAGTAAAGAGTAGAAGGAGCAATGATGCCACCCTACTCCAATTGACTGAAACTGCCCCGAACGAGTAAAGTGAACTTAAATCGCAAAGATTTAGTTCTAATCAGAATTGGTTGACAGGTTCAACTCCTTGGCAATCAAGAGGTCAATGGCAGGTTCCCCAACCAAAGATTAAGCAGGAAATTA